AAGCACAATAATTACCATTTAAAACCCAAATCCTCCACCATTTACACTCCTCCTGAAGTCAGTCAGTTTATTTTTGAATTATTAAGGGATAAAGTTCCTAGTAGAGGTTTAATTTTAGATCCTTGTTCAGGAACAGGAAATTTATTAAAGCCTTGAAAAAGATCATATTACACTCTTGGGTTTGATATTGATCAAGAGTTAAACGAGCCTGATGTTTATGCTGATTTTTTGAGTCTAAAATGAAAAGATTATGAAAGGTATGCCATGTGTCGTTTGGCTAGTTTTTCACCAACAAGTCTAATTCTCTGCAATCCTCCTTTTAATGGCATGAAACCAAAACTAGCCCCCGAAGTCTGATTAGACAAAATAATTGAACTATTTGGTAAAGATATTCCAATTGTCCTCTTTATTCCGATGGGTTTTCGACTCAACAGCAAAAAGAATGGCCAAAGATGAAGCAAGTTTACTAACAATTCTTATCCACCTATTAGCAGTATCATCAGTCTCCCCCGCGACATCTTCCCCGCCGTAGAATTCCACTCTGAAATCCTTATTTTTAACATTAAAGGATTACAACCTCACCATTTTTTTAACCCTGCCAATCAAATAGAACAGAGAACCCCCATCTAAGTTAGAGACACTAACTCATTAGTCGTCCATGGCTAATGGGAAACACTTGAGCCAAGCAAGAGCGAAAACTATTTCGCGTTCTCTGATTCCCTTAGCACTGGCTGGGTGCTCCTGCCACGATTGGTCCGCTAAGGGAAAGCCAAATAATCAAAAAAACTATGTTCACCTTATTAATCACTCTCCTTTTCGGAATCATCCTCGGCTTACTCTGAGCAGGTTTTAATGGCTGATTATTCTTTCGAATCGCCAAAATAAATTGTCCGCAGTGTAAACAACTAAAACCTTTAAAAGAAATCTTTGTTTTTAATTGAAAAACCCGCACCATTACTGGACGACCCTGCCACCAGTGCCAAAAACCTAAACCCCAAGTATCTATTGAATTATAAAAATATGTCCCAAGAATTACAAATTAAAGCCACCATTATTGATATTGAATCCAAAACTGACAAAAATGGCCATCCCTACTATCGCCTTAGTTTACAAGGAATGCCTGCCCGTTATTTTTACGCTTTTAGTTATAACCTCAAAGAAACCACCCGTGAAATTTTAAATTCCCCATACAACCTCATCAATCGGCAAGTTCTAATCACTTACCAAGAATTGCCGAATAAAGAACAAGCTGGGACTTTTTTTAAGGTCCAGCAAATAGAAATAAATAATTTTTAATTATTCCATTATGCAAAAGTATTAAATTATCTAATTTGGGTTCCAATCTAACTCCCGCCCAAACCACGACTGGATATTATTAATTCATAAGCGGATTAAAGGGAGTTAACTACAAAGGAGTGTTATTCGTCTTGACTTCCTGCTTAAGCATAGTCAAGCCACAAGGGGATAACCCCTTCACTTCCACCAAAAACAAGGTCCAAAGAAAAATTACCTGAACTAATTAACTTAACACAATCACCACTTTGGTTAAGTTAGACCAGTAAATACCACTCAAATCACTGCTAACTTAACAAAAACATTTAACCTTAACTTAACACTTTTATCAAACCCTATGTTTAGAGACCTTGAAAGTTTACAATTACTCCAAAAATTAGCCCAAAAATTAAAATCCCAACAAATTGGCTTTTGGATTGAAAATCAAGACTGCTATTTATGGGAAAACACCTTCCATTACTCTAATAAGATAAAAGTAGGTGATTTATCACTTACCAAAGAGAATTATTGGGCTAAATTTAACCAAGAACTAGAAAAAGCAGCCCAAGAACAGGAGAAAAGAAGCAATTTTTTAAACACTAAATTCCAAGAAATCTCAGATATAGAACTGATTGAAGAATTAAAAAAAAGAACCCAACACCACGCCATTAAACTGAGCATGTATTCCGGGAACGACACCATTTTTGTTGAAGGTAAAGACCTAAAGTGTGGAGGTGGCAGCACTTTACCCATTGAAATTAAAGAAAAAGACGATGACTAAACGAAAGTTACCAAAGCCATTATGTCCCAATTAATTTATAAAAATGGCTGTTGAGGCTGTTTAAGAGCCATTGATGACCCACAAGAAAAATATGTCTGTCCTCAGTATCAGCAACACTTAACCGCCTATCAAAAACAAGACCAAGAATTTTAAAAATTATGCCGAAATCCAAAAACCCGCAAAAGCAAATTGAAAGAAAACTGAATAAATTACAAGAACTAATCGAGGAAATAATTGAAGTCCAAGTTATTGATGCTAGTGATCCACAAACCTGAGACAGCGACACGCTTTATAACTTGGCAGAAAAATGTAAAGAAGTGATTAAACTTTTAGAAGACAAAAAGTCTGAACTTTTTAATATTTCTCTAACCAGCAGAGAAAAAATGATTACTGAAACTGGACTTTGTTCTTTAGTGGATGAATATCACTCCCAAAAAGATGAATAAAAAGCAAACTGAACAAGTTTTAAACTTCCCGCAAATCCAAGCCTTATGCTTACCTCCTTCTAGTCTCCACTTACCCCAACGCCATGATAAACTCTTAGAAACTGTTCTCTTAATGGGCTATCTCGGCTTGCGAGTATCCGAAGCCATTAACTTTACTTGTCAACAAATTTCAGTCGAAGATAAATCTGCTTTTCTAGTCAATGGCAAAGGTAATAAACAAAGACTAGTTTTTAACTTACTAAATAACCCTTACCTCACCAAAAAAGAACAAAAACAACGCTGTGGTTGAGATGGCCAAAATTATGTGTACTGTCGCTTAAGTTTTAAACCTTTTAGTAAGTTAAAACAAGCCTTAAATGAACAGATAGTTAAAAAGTATCGCTTAAAATAAAATGAATTGAAAGTGAGATAAAAAATATCTACTCTTAATGATGGCGGCTCTCTGCTTAGCCCTTTACTTTTTTGGTTCTGCCGATAATTTACCCGATACCAAATTTTTACGACCCATTGGCTATTGCTGCTTAGGTTTCAGTGGTCTCTTGCAACTCCTAACCAATTAATTATGCTCACCACTTTAAAAAAACATTGAAAAAAAGAATACCTATTCTTAGTTGTCGCTTTGCTCTGCGTTCTCGCTTACTATTACCGTCAACAATTAAATGCGAATGCTTTTACCGAATATCTGCCACTAATTGGTGGACTAGCCTTTGGCCTCAACACCTTAGTGCAAATTGCTAAATAACCCTTACTCCTATGCCCTTATTTACTGAAAATACCAACCCCAATAATCAAACTAATCCCAGTGCCAACGATAGCACCCAAACCAACCAAAATAGTAATCAAACCCAAAATCAAAAGCAATCTGGACTATTAACCATTATTGGTCAACTCTTACCTTTAGCCCCGTTTGCTTTTGAACAATTTACCGGTCAAAAAGTCCCGCAAAT